GTATGTAATACTATAAGAGCTTCAAAATTATCAGATTTAGGTCTCTTGAAAAACTTGATGAGTTCGTTCGTATACAGAGAACCTTGAGGAAAATACCTGATTAATTTTGAAGCACGAGTGATATTCGAAAGATTATTTTCTGGACCAGGATTTTAGTCAATCACAACGTAGTATTTGAGATCACGATGCTCATTTGTTTTTGAATTTTTTCTAAAATATCACACTAGCTTTTGGAAATTACATCTGATAATTGCATAGTAGTTTTTCATTTTTTTCTAACCAATTGAACATTGTGATAGATCCTCTCTGTTCAGTTGTGCCTTCAAATACTGTGCTCCACTTGGCCAAAATCCAGTCCCGGAAATTAGTTCGTCGAATACTCGATCTCCGAATCAATCGCAATAGTTCCCTCAAACTTCTCTGCAAACAAACAAATGCGTCAAGTTTTGCAGAAAAAAAATTTAGCCTGCAAAACTTAACACCTTCATTTGTTTACAACAAAGCTATCGGGAAATATTCTGATAATTGCGAAAGTCTCAGGGTATTATAACTGAGAATTTTTCCATCCAAATTTCGGCCAAGAGAATTACACTATGAGACAAAATCCAACTATCAGTTCCACCGAGGAGGTCACTCAACTCGGGAATTTTTTGTTTTTCATGTATATATATTAACGTGAAAAAGTCTCAGAGGAATTATCAAAAATTATCGGTTGAATAAAATGATAGTCGACTAGTGCAATTCTATTGGCTGAAAATTGGAGTAGAAAAATTCTCGATATAATTTCCTGATTGACGTGTCAGGCTCTCACTTTATTTTTTTTTCTTCACCAGATCGGCTGCGCGATAGGATACGTGTAACGAAGTAATAGGTTCAAGATAATACCACATGTTCCACAAATGGAAGCTCCCCCATGATGCATTCTCAAATTGATAATTTTCTGACAAGAAGACTAAAGTTTGAAGAGAAAGAAGAGAACAATGTGTCCCTTATAAATTGACTCACCGTTGTCCCCGACGTTGGCCAGGCAATGTGCTCCAGTAAAAAAATTTGAGTTTTTTCAATAAGTTCTATACATCCGAAAAAAAAATCTAGAAAACCCAAGAATGGTTTTAAATTTTAAGAAGACCATCGAATTTTCTAAAACTCTTTGGAAAAACACCCAAATTTTGTCGAATTCTTAAAAATAAAATGTCTTTCTCAGAATTGTTCCTGAATGCTAGAAATTTCTAAAATTGATTTATTTAGAAAATAGGTTTTCTGTGTGCACGCCCTTAAGAGTGGATTTTAAAAAAAGGCAGTGTCTATTCAATTTTGTAATTTTTATTTAGAAAAAAAAATTATTTCTCTATTACAATATTATAATGTATTTAATATATTATAATATTATATATTATGGGCCGGTTGCACCAAGCCGAGTTAGCTATTTAAATCGTCAAATTTATTTAATCTCCAGATTAAATTAAATCTCCATATGAGATCCATAAAAACCATATGAAAACTGTCATCAAAATTAAAATTTTGAAGGTACAAAACAAAAAATAGGAAATTGTTCGCCTGGACTTGTCAATTTGCATCAGAGGAATTATAAAATTAGTAAAATTTCAGATATAAAAAAAGGGATCTTGAACAATAATAAGTGAAATTGTCCGCCGACAATTCAGTAGCGAATTTTTCAATTTTATTTTGACTATTTTTTATTTTTCATTGAATATCTCGAAAACGGAGAATAGCAAAACTTTTGTTAAGACCATTTTTATAGAGCAAATAAAGATATACAAAAAAATTTATAATGAAAATTTGACTACTAGCCACAGATTCAGAGATATTCATCAAAAATCCAGCTGAGGGCTATTGCGTTGAGCGCAGCAGGAGGTTTGAATAAGTTGCGCATGGCGCCAATCACGTGACTCATGGCACTGTCGCAGCGAGGGTAACAGCTGACGCGTTGCGCCGACTGCTCCGAAATTGCTATTATAATTTATAATAAATTAACGGTACATTTTGAGCTATAAGTTCCTAACTCCCCCCGATAGGACATTTTCTCAGCTACAAAGAAATATTTTTTTTCCCCATGTGATGAGGTTAACTAAAGATATCTAGGATTGAAGACGGCCTGTCGGCAATTCCCAATTGTTTATAACAAATTGTGAATCACCCCGGCAAATTTGAGCATATACTTTTTAAAACATTAATAATTACACTTTTAGCTATCGATTGGTGTAATTTGGTGCCCTTTGGTTAATTTCGATGTAAAAAATCTAATTTGACTGGACTAATAAGGTAGATCAGTGGTAAGCATCGCGTAGGGAAATTATCTCGCGGATCTAGTTGTATTATGGGTTAGAGCCTTTAAAATTTCAAAGATCAGGGGGGTGACGACCAGGGTTAAACGAGAGACGAATAAAATTAGTCGGCCAATCAAATAAGGACTTTTTTTGGCCGAAATCGAGGATGATAGAAGAAGGATAAAAACCATGAGATATCATGCGGAAGAATGATGTGAAACACATACTAAGTTTTTGGGATTGTAGCAAACCGGGAAATTGTTTAAAAAAATTCAAAACTGCAAAATTAAGCGTCCACGCGATCTTTTTNATAAGGGAGATCAGTGGTAAGCATCGCGTAGGGAAATTATCTCGCGGATCTAGTTGTATTATGGGTTAGAGCCTTTAAAATTTCAAAGATCAGGGGGGTGACGACCAGGGTTAAACGAGAGACGAATAAAATTAGTCGGCCAATCAAATAAGGACTTTTTTTGGCCGAAATCGAGGATGATAGAAGAAGGATAAAAACCATGAGATATCATGCGGAAGAATGATGTGAAACACATACTAAGTTTTTGGGATTGTAGCAAACCGGGAAATTGTTTAAAAAAATTCAAAACTGCAAAATTAAGCGTCCACGCGATCTTTTTTCCTTTAAGCCAACGAAACTGTGATAGGATAAAAATGTATAAGGCTTAATTTGTAGAGCATAAAATTTCCTACAAANTGTAGCAAACCGGGAAATTGTTTAAAAAAATTCAAAACTGCAAAATTAAGCGTCCACGCGACCTTTTTTCCTTTACGCCGACGAAACTGTGATAGGATAAAAATGTATAAGGCTTAATTTGTAGAGCATAAAATTTCCTACAAAAAAGTCAATGGCGGCATTTTCGCAATTTAAACCGTCAAGTCGCCAAGCGCGCTCAAAGTTGAACTACGGAAAAGCTGATTCGCCGCCAACGCCAAAAAGTTTATTTTAGTTGCAAAATGCAAATAATTCTTCACAGAATGTCTTCAGGAGAGGAAATTTTTTTAAAAACATTTTTTCAGCAGTCTCCATTTTTTCCTTTTTTTTCATTTTTCAACCAAAATTTGCCATAACATAACTTTTGATCCAGTTATCTTATTGGAATAAGAACAAAAGGTGATTTTTTCTCGTTCTCTCTTCTCCATTTTCACTCTACTGACCTTTTCACTCAACTTTCATATTTAACTTATTATTTGTTGATAAACTAAAAAAATTGCTGTTTTTTCAATATATAATCTGACTTGAAAATTTCTGATTAGCTTTATCCCAAACTTGAGTCATTGAGATCAATCTTGAATTTTTTTATATTTTTCTTGGCATTTGTTGACGTAGATTTTTAACAAAAAAAAACCCTATAAAATATACCCTATATCCACGGTAAAATTTACCATGGACGGTGTGAATAGACACTACCAATGTTTTTTTGGGCTCAAATGAAAGAGCGGCTCGAAAAATGGCGTGGAGAAGTCTTTAAAGATGACAAATGTCTCTAAAGATGATGTCTGTTTTCAACTGAAAAGCGCAATTGTGACAACATCGCCCAGTGGGGTCTAGGAGTCTCCCCTGGTTCAAAACCATCTTTAGGCATCAGCACACCATTTTTCGAGCCGCTCTTTCATTTGAGCCCAAAAAAACATTCATTTCTTGTCTGACATCTCTGCTCCAAACTCTGGTTTTCAATTAAAACCAATTAAAACGAAAGTTGAAGACCAGAGTTTCTCTGAAAAATGGTGTGCTGATGCCTCTAAAGATGGTTTTGAACTAGCGGAGACTCCTAGACCCCACTGGACCCAATGTTGTCACAATTGCGCTTTTCAATTGAAAACAGACATCATCTTTAAAGACATTTGTCATCTTTAAAACCATCTTACACGGTAAAAAGTGGAAACATTGCACGCCATTCACTCACCTTATATGCACGGTAAAAAAAATTTACTTTAAATCCACGGTGAAAATCTTCCCTATATCCACGGTAAAAATGGGCCCGATGCACACCACTGCTTTACCTTATATCCACGGTAATAATTACCTTTTATCCACGGTAAAAAATGGACCTAACATACCCCACTGCTTACCTTATATCCACGGTAGAAATTACCGTATATCCACGGTAAAATATACCCTATATGCACGGTAAAATTTACCGTGGACCGTGTGAATAGACACTGCCCCATAAGAATTGCCTGCCCCCACACCGCCGGCCGAAGTGCGACTCAGGCCTTAGAGGATTAATCAGACTTACTGTTTGTTCACTTTTTGAAAAATGGTCCAATTGATGATTGATTGCTTACTGCTGAGTAAAATAGTCTTACACACTTGTAAAACCGACTTACATATGTGATTATTTTCCAGTTAACAATTAATACACATAAATCCAATCTGTGCCGAATACTCACTGTAAATGAATAATTCATACATATATTAGTGCCACTAAAATTATTGAGTTGAAATTGTCATCAAAATTAAAAACTGAATCGGAAGGAGAAGAATCAAGAATTATTTGAATACTTGTGATTGTGTGTAAACATGCTCAATTATTTTCTTAGAAAAATCGCTGATATTATAAGATGATTAATAATCTGCCATTTTCTGCATGGAGAAACATCGAACAGCGTTAAAACCTTAGAAAGGCATTACGTACGTTAACCAGGCTTCCCTATAAAATACCGTCCCTCCAACGTAATCGCCCACAGTGCTGGTTTCACTTTTATCAACCCTCTGATGTATAAAATTTCATAATAGAATACAGTATTGAATTGCAGTATACTTTAATTAACAATCCTTAATTTCATACTTAAATGATATCACACCGTCTGTAATTACCTGAATAGTTCACCTATTTCTAGAGAAAAATGCATAAAACGTGTGTTTGGTTATTAATACTTGCAATATTGAGTGCTTGCACATGTGGAGGTCGTACAGAGTGCGGAAAGAAACGAAGAATCACACTTTTAACAAGTATTCACAATGATCTCAACTGTGAAAAATTATCTCATAAAGGTGTTATGACTTACGAGGCTGCCAAATATATTGTCGAAATGCACAATAACAAAACAAATAATTCAAAAATCGGTGCGTCATCATTCACAATGATGTCATATAAATATTATCACTGATGTTAACTTATTTTTAGATGTTACCATTTTGGATACATGTGATAGTGTTTCTGGAGCGATGAAAGCAACGATGAAAGCGTTAGTATGGTCCGATATGGATTGCTTAAGACCGCCATTTTACTTCGGTAAGAAAAGTTCATTAATGTGATAAAACGAGATTATTCAGAATAGAATTATCCCGTTCTCTTTCGTTTAAAATTTATCTACAGGGATGATTGGCCCCTACTCCGCATTGAACGTCGATGCCGTTCAGAAGATCACATCCACACTAAATATCCCACATATAGTAAATACAAATATAATTTCCCCTTATGTACACAATCTCGACAGAGAATCCGATTTTCCCATGATTCATGCAATCTTGGGGATAATTGACACATTAAAATGGAAGACATTTAGTTTGATCACAAGTACTTATGGAAGCAATGAAGATGATCTACAACACATTGCGAAAAAGGTGACCATGGGCGCCATTGCTAGAGGAGTATGTGTAATGATTCATGACGGAGACGATGCAGGTAATGTGACACTGATGGACGTACATTGAATAATTGATTGAGAAATTGATTTCTTATCCCACTTCACTAAGACTTTGGCACTCACATACTTCACATTGGAAAACCGAACGAAAAAATCCTGATTATGACAAATGTGACCATTTTGATTGCCAGTGAAGGTAATGTGAAAAATCATGTCAATCATTACAGCACGCTGGGTAATATATTTCTTCTGCAAGACTCCAGGTGAGAAATTTTCATCCTAATAGAATAATTGCCTTCTTTATTTACCACTTAAATAGGTTTATGCCCAGAATACATTCTAACTCCATCTGACCTCTTCTACATTCTAGCAGTTTATTGACCTTATTTAACATTTTTTTATAATATTAATATTACAACAGTTTCTTGTTTCTCAAGGCTGCTCATAAATACTATCGAGTAAAGAAGCTTTTTTTTAAATTGCATTTTGCCTTTAACTTCAAAGAAAAAAGAAATAAATATAATCAGCGACATATATTAATCGATAAACTACGCATGAACCGTTATGTGTTCACAATTATTCAATACTGTCTCAATCGGAATGCATGTGAAGCCAATCATTAGCAAAGTTCCACTTTACTTTTGTGCGGAATAATTAAATGTAATCATAATATTTGAAAACGTAGGAGATCTCATATATCTTCTTGTATAAGTGGCAGCAATCTATCGATCTTGGAATTTGAAAGTATTTAAAGAAAAATTACTTGAAGGGTGTTGTCTGTTGAAAAAAATTACATTGATTCAAAATTTTTGTAGACCGTTTATTGTAATTGTCAGATAATGTGTGAGTTTTTAAAGAATTTTCCTAGATTTCCGTGTCAAGTTATTAACGATTTAAAGCGTATAAATATCCTTTATGAATTATAAATGAATGTCATTATTTACTTTTTTCGAACGGAACACCTGAAGTGGATTCCCTGTCTCCACAACACAAACAAAAATAACACAAACAAAAATATCATAAACATAAATGACTCAGACAAGAATAACTCGGAATAATAATATACATTGCATGTACTTCATTTTTAATTTATCTTCATAATCAAACTATAAGAAATTCATGAGCAGAACGATATATAATCAACGTAATTTTTTTACACTCTAATCATATATTCAAACAATTATCATCACAAATTTTCTCAGTAACACAAATAATCAATATATTGAGAAAATAGTATATTGTGCATCAAGGGCGGAAAGTTATGGTTTCCCGCCCGAGGTGCACATGCTATTTTTCAACACGCCTGCAAAGGAAAGTTCGTATTTTGCTCTTTGATGAGCGGGAGGAAAGTGAGTACTTTCCACCCGAGGGCGGGAAGTACTCACTTTCCTCCCGTTCATCAGAGAGCAAAGTACGAACTTTCCGTGCAGGTGTGTGAAAAATTAAATAACCTCACTGGTATAAATTAAACAATTCCAGTTGGATAGAGCGATTGTCGCCCCCCCCCCTCACTCCAAATATCAATCGATAATTTCCCACACTCCTTATTTATATTTGAATTCAATCAAAATGAATGCTGAAAACTCTCTTCTGTTTACCTTATATGTTCCAATTTCTTTGACTGTGTCAATTGTGATAAGTGTTTTCATTCCAATTGGTTATGCGTCATTGGAAATAATCGCATGAGATATTTTCATTTTAAAAAACAATAATTGTTCAAAAAATCAAACTTTTGTTTAACCATTCCACTCTTGAACAAGTGGGCCGTCATGCAAAAAATTGGGACAATTTTTGAAAAAAAATTGAGGTCCTGGGACTCGGTCAAATTCATTAATTTTCATGGCACATGAAAAACAGGGTTTTTCATTTTCTTATCATAATAGCGCAGAAACTATCGGATGAAAAAAACTGAAACTCTGTATTGGACTAGAGTAATATTTGATCTAACGAATGAAATTATGGCTCCACAGTCGTGCGATTTTTTTTCGCTACCATACAAGCCTCCAAAGTTTACGGACTACACTTTTGAAAAGGATAGTATGCGCATGCGTCCCAACCAACCAAATCAACTGTCGTTGAGTTTTGTGACGTTACAGCAGCATCAACAATTATTTATACGCATTAGAGACAAAAGTGCCATTTAAAAGACATAAAAAAACGATTAAGAATTAATGAGATTATCCCCCATAATGATGCAGAAGGTACACTGAGAGAAAAACAACAAAATTCTCAAACAAGTCTTATTTGTGCCAAGAAAATATTTTTTTGAAAATTATCAAAAAAGGATTTTTCTGTACCAAACATGCAGAGAGTGTGCCGAAATGAAAAATTTTCGTCGCAAAAATTGATTTAATAGTTTTAAAAAAATGGTGTGGTTATTCGCACCACTATCTCGTGTCTCGTGTCTCGTGACTCTAAAGGACCTCGTATATATCCCAATGCATCCTGACTCGTTACTCGTGTCTCGTGTCTCGTGCCTCGTGTCTCGTGTCTCGTGACTGGAAAATTGTATGGTACGGAGGATCCCAGGGCTCGTGCCTCGTATCTCGTGTCTCGTGCCTCGTGTCTCGTGTCTCGTGACTGAAAAATAGTATGGTACGGAGGATCTCCGGGCTCGTGCCTCGTATCTCCTGCCTCGTGCCTCGTGTCTCGTGTCTCGTGACTAGAAAATTGTATGGTACGGAGGATCCCCGGGCTCGTGCCTCATGTCTCGTGCCTCGTGTCTCGTGTCTGATGCCTCGTGTCTCGTGACTGGAAAATTGTATGGTACGGAGGATCCCAGGGCTCGTGCCTCGTATCTCGTCCCTCGTGTCTCGTGTCTCGTGGCTGGAAAATTGTATGGTACGGAGGATCCCAGGGCTCGTGCCTCGTATCTCGTGTCTCGTGCCTCGTGTCTCGTGTCTCGTGACTGAAAAATAGTATGGTACGGAGGATCTCCGGGCTCGTGCCTCGTATCTCCTGCCTCGTGCCTCGTGTCTCGTGTCTCGTGACTAGAAAATTGTATGGTACGGAGGATCCCCGGGCTCGTGCCTCATGTCTCGTGCCTCGTGTCTCGTGTCTGATGCCTCGTGTCTCGTGACTGGAAAATTGTATGGTACGGAGGATCCCAGGGCTCGTACCTCGTATCTCGTGTCTCGTGACTAGAAAATTGTATGGTACGGAGGATCTCCGGGCTGGTGCCTAGTATCTCGTGCCTCGTGTCTCGTGCCTCATATCTCATGTCGCGTGACTGGAAAATTGTATGGTACGGAGGATCCCAGGGCTCGTGCCTCATATCTCCTCGTGACTCGTGCCACGTGTCTCGTGACTGAAAAATAGTATGGTACGGAGGATCTCCGGGCTCGTGCCTCATATTTCCTGCCTCGTGTCTCGTATCTCGTGTCTCGTGACTAGAAAATAGTATGGTACGGAGGATCCCTGGGCTCGTGCCTCATATCTCGTATCTCGTGCCTCGTGCCTCGTGTCTCGTGACTGGAAAATTGTATGATACGCAGGATCCCCGGGCTCGTGCCGCGTGTCTCGTGTCTCTTGACTGTAAAATTGTATGGTACGGAGGATCTCCGGGCTCGTGTCTCGTGTTTCGTGTCACGTGCCCCGTGTCTCGTGGCTCGTGCCTCGTGGCTCGTGCTTCGTGTCTTCTTTCTCGTTTCTCAAATGCTCTAAGTGGTGAAGATTCTCGGAGTGCGTGGCTCGTGTCTCGTGACTCTACGGAGTGAAAGTTCTTGAACTTCGTGGCTCGTAGCTCATGATTCGTGGCTCATGCCTCGTGTCTTGTGACTCGTGTCTCGTGTCTCGAACTCTCCAAGAGGTGAAGATTCTCGGACTGCATGACTCGTGTCTCAAACTCTCCGAGAAGTGAAAGTGTCTTGAATTCTCCGACAGGTGAAAGTTCATGGACTGCGTGGCTCGTAGCTCGTATCTCGTGTCTCGTGTATCGTGTCTCGGGTCTCTTCTCTCGTCTCTTAAACACTCTAACGGGTGAATGTTCCCAACTGCGTGTCTCGTGTCACGTGCCTCGTGTCTCCTGTCTCGTGCCTCGTGCCTCGTATCTCGTGTCTCGTGACTGGAAAATTGTATGGTACGGAGGATCCCAGCGCTCATGCCTCGTATCTCGTGTCTCGTGACTGGAAAATAGTATGGTACGGAGGATCCCCGGGTTCGTGCCTCGTATCTCGTGCCTCGCGTCTCGTGTCTCGTGACTGTAAATTTGTATGGTACAGAGGATCTCCGGGCTCGTGTCTCGTGTTTCGTGCCTCGTGTCTGGTGACTGGAAAATTGTATGGTACAGAGGATCCCCGGGCTTGTGCCTCGTGACTCGTGTCTCGTGTCTCGTGTCTCGTGACTATAAAATTGTATGGTACGGAGGATCAACGGGCTCGTGTCTCATGTTTCGTGCCTCGTGTCTCGTGACTGGAAAATTGTATAGTACGGAGGATCCCAGGGCTCGTGCCTCGTGCATCGTGTCTCGTGTCTCGTGACTGTAAAATAGTATGATACGGACGATCCCCGGGCTCATGCCTCGTATGTCGTGTCTCGTGCCCCGTTTCTCGTGTCTCGTGTCTCGTGACTGGAAAATTGTATGGTACGAAGGATCCCCGGGCCTGTACCTCATGACTCGTGGCTCGTCATTGGAAAATTGTATGGTACGGAGGATCTCCAGGCTCGTGTCTCGTGTTTCGTGTCACGTGCCTCGTGACTCGTGGCTCGTGCCTCGTGTCTTCTTTCTCGTTTCACAAATGCTCTGAGTGGTGAAGGTTCTCGGAGTGCGTGGCTCGTGACCCGTGTCTCGTGTCTCGTGGCTCATGGCTGGTGTCTTAAATTCTCTCAGAGGTAAAAATTCTTGGATTGGGTGATTCGTAGCTCGTGGCCCGTGGCTAGCCCCCCAAATGGTCTAATCGGTGAAGATTCTCGGATTGCGTGGCTTGTCTCTCAAAAATTTCATGGGAAAACCTAGAGAATTCGACAGAAAATTCTATTGGATTTCTATTAAATTTTTTTTGAAAATTCTATTAGCTTCACGGCGCGTTGTTGGAATTAATCAATAGAGACTATTTCATAGAAAAAAATCAGCAAAATTTCAATTTTTTATACAAATTTTTCTATCGAGACATTTTCTATAGAAATTCCTTGACATTAATTTTCATAGTTTTTTCACTCCATTTTTCTTCTTTTCATTTAAAAAAATTGGAAAATTTTAGCCAGGAAATTCCTACAGACAAAATCTCAGTAGAATAAATTGTACAGAAAAATCAAATTCTACTGATTGTTTCTATAATTTTTTTTATTAAAACTTTTTATTGGAAGAAACGCGCAAATATGCTGCTGATTTTTTCAATTATGAAAGTCGAAAGCTAATTAAAAGTTCTCTAGAAATCCAAGAGAATTTCCTGGCGAAGGCACTAAGTTTTTCTATGAAAGTTTTTCGTATGTGTCTTTTTGATCAAATTCAACTATTTCTTTTCTTTTTTAGAATATCCAGTTTTGATGATGTATTTGACTTTTGTTAGAGAGCAAAGCACCCCCCCCCCCCCCCCCCCCCCCCCCCCCCCCCCCCCCCCCC